TTTTTGAATTGACTGTTATTTTAGTAATTATTTCATTCTATTTTAAGTTGGTATATTATAGATAAAATTGTATGTTTAATTAATCAATAATCTTGTTCCTCATCTTCATTTGATAAACTTAAAGTAATATTATTATGTTTTAATTTTGTTTTATGTAAAAATCTACCTACTAGGGAAGATTCAGACAAAAAAATGTAGTTTTTGAATTGACTGTTATTTTAGTAATTATTTCATTCTATTTTAAGTTGGTATATTATAGATAAAATTGTATGTTTAATTAATCAATAATCTTGTTCCTCATCTTCATTTGATAAACTTAAAGTAATATTATTATGTTTTAATTTTGTTTTATGTAAAAATCTACCTACTAGGGAAGATTCAGACAAAAAAATGTAGTTTTTGAATTGACTGTTATTTTAGTAATTATTTCATTCTATTTTAAGTTGGTATATTATAGATAAAATTGTATGTTTAATTAATCAATAATCTTGTTCCTCATCTTCATTTGATAAACTTAAAGTAATATTATTATGTTTTAATTTTGTTTTATGTAAAAATCTACCTACTAGGGAAGATTCAGACAAAAAAATGTAGTTTTTGAATTGACTGTTATTTTAGTAATTATTTCATTCTATTTTAAGTTGGTATATTATAGATAAAATTGTATGTTTAATTAATCAATAATCTTGTTCCTCATCTTCATTTGATAAACTTAAAGTAATATTATTATGTTTTAATTTTGTTTTATGTAAAAATCTACCTACTAGGGAAGATTCAGACAAAAAAATGTAGTTTTTGAATTGACTGTTATTTTAGTAATTATTTCATTCTATTTTAAGTTGGTATATTATAGATAAAATTGTATGTTTAATTAATCAATAATCTTGTTCCTCATCTTCATTTGATAAACTTAAAGTAATATTATTATGTTTTAATTTTGTTTTATGTAAAAATCTACCTACTAGGGAAGATTCAGACAAAAAAATGTAGTTTTTGAATTGACTGTTATTTTAGTAATTATTTCATTCTATTTTGAACACCAATAACAGTGCACTTTTTGTTAAACGTTAATTAATTTTGTAATTTAATGATATTTTTAGTATTTTTAATTTTRGTCAAATATTATTTTGTTGATGTTTTAGTATAAATATCAAATTATTATTATATTTTATTGGAAAAAATATWAAATATTTGTATCAATGTATTATGTACTTTTGAAAATAAACTCTTAATTGATTTTGTTTAAATGTAAGGAGAAATTAATAACAATTTTTTTTTTAGAATCAACATTGCATTTGGTATTACGTCTACGTGGTGGTGTTATTGAGCCCACTCTTCGTTTGTTGGCCCAGAAATACAACTGTGATAAAATGATATGCCGCAAATGTTATGCTCGTCTTCACCCAAGGGCAACTAACTGTCGTAAGAAGAAGTGTGGACACACAAACAACTTGCGCCCAAAAAAGAAGTTGAAGTAAACGCATTTTGCTTATATCCCAAGGAAAACAACAAACATTTTCTTGGTTTTAAATTTTATCATTCAATTGTAAAATTACAAATTTATAAAATACAAATAAACTAAAACCAAAAAAATTCTMTCTTTGTAATTTACTTTTTACAAGTTATTATTTTTTATATTCCTAAACTAATTAATTTATACTTTCTAATATTCTTTTTGTAGTTTATCTTATGTAATCGAGTATCTGCTACTGAAAGATTTATTCGATTATTATTTATAATACTAATACTAATTTATATTACTAATACAAATAATGGCTTATTTAAGATCAAGTTCAGAATAGTATTGTCAAATTTAAAAGTTTTAATGTTGRTGAATGTTAACATATTCTTTTTTAGATTTTCTCCATTTACTATTACCTATTAGTTATTCATTATTGGTATAATAGGTACATAAAATGAAAAAGCAATAACCTATGTATGATCGATTAATGAAGTTG